GGGGGGGGGGGGGGGGGGGGATCTTAAGGCTCCTTGTTGAGATGGAAAGCCAATGGGGATGCAGCATGGTTTCTGAAGCCATGCAAAACCTCACTGCTAACTGCAGGCGTTTGTTCGATGAGAACAGGCATCGAAATCAGTCACACGGCGCACGCTTCGCCCCATTCTGCGGAACCTAAAAGGACAATGTATCCTACCAGGCAGGGGCAGCCTTTGATATGTGTGTACAATAGAGCAACCGGTGCTCTCCGCCGCACTCGCACGTCGACAGCAGTGTTCGCGGTGCGAGGGCTGGTTCGACATCTATCTCCCGTTTCACCTGCTCCTCCATTGCCTCAAGGGTCGCCGCCAGCGCCTCCGCCCGCTCGTTAGCGACCGCGACCAGTGACTCCGCCGCCGCCCGCCCCTCCTCAGCGCGACCGAGGCACTCCCTCAGTGTCCCGGACTCCCGCGCCGCCGCCTCTTGTGACTCCCGCGCCGCCGCTGCCGCCTCCCGGGCCGCAGCGAGCCGTTCGCCGGCGGCATCCTGCGACTCCCTCGCCGCCGCCGTCCTCTCCTCTTCCAGCGCTCCCAGCCTCTCCAAAACCAACGCCGCCGCCGCCTTTTCCGCCATGGCAACGGCGAGGCGCTCGTTGGCATCTCGGGATCCCTGCACTGCTGCGGCGAGCCGCTCCCGGACATCCTCCAGCTCCTTTGCGGCCTCCGCCCTCTCTGCCACCGCCGCGTCAAGCTGCCCTTTGAGCTGCTGCAACTCCCTCGCGGTCGCCGCTGCCCTCTCCTCACCGGCAACGGCAAGTCGCTCGCGGACATCCTCTAGCTCTTCCACCGCCGCTGCTCTCTTTGCCGCCGACGCTCCAAGCCGCTCGTGGAGCTCCTGCAGCTCCCTCGCCTTTTCGTCGCCGGCAGCTGCTAGCCGTTCTCGCATGCTCTCCGTCTCCCTTTCTGCGGCAGCTCTCTTCTCCTCCGACTTTGCCAAGTCTCCCTTAACGCATTCCAGCTCTTCTACCGCCTCTGCCAGCTTCACCTCCGCCGCCTTCTTCCCTGAAACCGCTTCTTCCGACAGCGACAACGCCTCGTGCAGCTGCCGCGAGGCTTCCTCCTCGGCTTCGAGCTCCTGTCCCATCTTCTCCTCCATCGCGGCGTCCAGTCTGTCCGTCGCCGCTCTCTCGGCCGCCTCTGTCGCTCTCTCCGCGGCTTCGGTCGCTCGCCGTACGGCGTCTCTTTCAGCGTCATGGGCAGCCTCTCTCGCCTGCCTCAACATGTCGTTCTTTTCGGCCACCGCCTTCTGACTTTCGTACAGCTCCGCCGCCAGGGTTTCCACTTCGGCGACGGAGGCGTTGAGCTCCTCTCGCAAGCTTTCCAGTTGCCGCGTGGCCTCTTCCTCCGCTTCGACTGCCCGCGCCGTCCTCTCCGCCAGTGCGGCTTCCAGCCTGTCCGTCGCCGCCTTCTCGGCCGCCTCTGTCGCTCTCTCGGCTGCCTCTCCCGCTCTCTGCACCGCATCTCTCTCGGCCTCTTCAGCAGCGGCTCGAGCCGCTTCGGCGGCCTCTCTCGCCTCCCTCAACAGATCGCTATTCTCGGCCACGGCCTGCTTACTCTCGCGCAGCTCCACCGCCAGGGTTTCCGCTTCGGCGACGGAGGCGTTGAGCTCCTCTCGCAAGCTTTCCAGTTGCTGCGCGGCCTCTTCCTCCGCTTCGACTGCCCGCGCCGTCCTCTCCGCCAGTGCGGCTTCCAGCCTGTCCGTCGCCGCTCGCTCGGCCGCCTCTGTCGCTCTCTCGGCTGCCTCTGCCGCTCTCTGCACCGCATCTCTGTCCGCCTCTTCAGCAGCGGCTCGAGCCTCATCGGCAGCCTCTCTCGCCTCCCTCAACAGATCGCTTCTCTCGGCCACGGCCTGCTTACTCGCGTGCAGCTCCGCCGCCAGGGTTTCCACTTCAGCGACGGAGGCGTCCAGCTTTTCTCGCAAGCTTTCCAGTTGCCGCGTGGCCTCTTCCTCGGCTACCAGAGCCTGCCCCGTCCTCTCCGCCAGTGCG